CTTTTGGATATCCTGGTTTTTACCTAAAATTCTGTTTTGTGTGAGCATGATGTTATGGAATCATCCTGTCACCGTTTGGCAAATATTCTTTATTGTAATCACTATGTTATCAACATTTCTTTATTCTTTTTTTTCAGGTTTTCCTGTGGTAAATAAGGAATAACTAGGTTTAATTCTTAACCAATCTGGTATCTTTGTCCTTTAAACAACTTGATAAAACTACACATATAGTGTAACTAAGTTTAGGGTTCTATTATTCCTCCTCCCAAGGTTTTTAAACTTTTTCTGCTCTCTGAAGTAGCCTGTATTTTCTAATGGGCTCTCTTTCTTCTTTGATATTTTCATCTCTTCTTTTGGTTTTATACTGTGCACATTTTTCATTTAAACACAGAAAGTCATACTTTCTTAAAAGAAATCTAGAATATTTATATCTTACCCTTTTCTACCCAAGAAAGGTAAAATTTAGTTTTGGTTTGTGTACGTTTTCAGATCACATTCAGAATCTCCCCTTTGTCTTATCGTTTTCAAAAGATGCGAACTTATTCTTCATTTATTTCCATACATATTGGTCCTTCATTTTTCTCTAATTGTCACCGCGTAGGTACGTGTTATGCTTTGTATCTACTTGTCCCCCAAAAGCCTCATGTAAATCCTGTGGCAGTCACACTTGAGCAGTGCATGGATCGAGGGGCGGGGCCAGGGGACCAGGGCAGGGCTTGAGGGGAGGGACAGGAGAGGGCGCCAACCATTAACCTGCAGCCTGCCTCCCTACCTTCCCCCAAGGCCTGGTGGGCTCTCTTGGAGGTATAGAGAGGATCATCCTGAACCCGGCGTTGCCCCAGCCTCTCTTCCAGACCCTGTAGGATGGCACTATCTGGAGGTCTTGCTATATAATTCAGGTTGCTTTAATTTATGAACCCTCCAGTAACTGTGAGCTACATAAACCTTTCCTTCCCTCGTTTTGAGTGTCAGGTATTTGTCCCAACAAGGAGAGAAGAGTAACTAAAACAGTATAGAATTTTATTTACAAATTATTTGCTTAACACAGACTAGTCATATGCATGACTAGTTTCCAATTAGCGATACTTTCTAAATGATTGCCTTGTTCATCATGTTTTTGTTGATTATTTATTTATAGATTCTGTCTTCTTTAGTTATCTCCCAGTAATTCTTTCAAAGGTGGTCGGTGTAAACTTTCTGTTTGAAAATGCTCTTATTTGTGGGAGAAATTGAATGGCTGATTTATTCCACAATCTCTAGTAAGATTTGAGCCATCTCTTCATCATTACTTTTTTTAAAAAGATAGTTATGTATGTACGTATGTATGTATGTATGTATGTATGTATTGGATACAGAGTCTTGCTATGCAGCTCAGACTCATAGTGATCCTCCTGTCTCAGCCTCCTCAGGGGTTACAGGAGAGTGCCACTATGCCCAGGACTCTCGCCAGCTCTGTTTGCCTTGGGGGTGGGGCTGGTGCCACGTGTGATGCCTGGGATTGAACTGCGGTTCATGCCCTTTCCTAAGCTTGTGTAAGCAGGCGCTTTAGTCCACTGAGCTATCTCACTGGACCTCTCTTAGTTTCTTGAAAAGAATGCTTTGGGCCAGTATTGTTTGAAGAAATATCATGCCTGTATCTTGTACTCGGATTAAGTACTAGGAAGACAACAGCACACAATGTCTGAACTACTGTAACTATCCTACTAACCTGTTTCATTGTTTGTCTTCTTTTCTCTATAAAACAAAAAAGCAGAAATTCCATAATTTCTGGTCCACCAGAAGTTCTTCCTCTGTTTTCGAAAAATACCAGAGTACTTGCAATTTCCTTGAAAATAAACCTTTACAAATCACTCAGAATGATTTTATGTAGAAAGGGAAGAATTCAGCATTTATACAGAGTGAAGAAATAGTCATTTGTGCTTATTTGGATGGGTTCCTGTGAAGCATTTTTATTTTGAATTTTGGCATATCTGTTTCCTTTAGACTCAAAATAATGGAGCACACAATGTGCTAGATGGCTTCCTTTCTTCCCTCCTTGATGATCCTGCCAGCTGTCTGTACATGTGCAGGTGCCATGTGCAGGTTGTGTACCTGTGCGGAGAGCATCCTGGTCTCCTAAGTCAGTTCTTTAGTTGAGTTTCCTCCAGTTTAAAGGGCCAATAGAGATCAGAGAGGGGAAAGTGATTAAGGTTGCTTGGGCTGCTTGTTTCCTGTCCCATGAGGACTGCTTCGCTTGCCCATAGTTCTTCACCCTCTGTTCTGTCCATTTCTGAACACAACATATTCCAGGCTGTCCCACGCATGCTCTGTTGCCTTCTTCTTCCTCTGATCCTTGTGGTTGAAGGCTAGCAGTGACTCCCAAGGGTGCTGCCATGGAGAACCACATTTTCTTGCTAGCTTCTCTGCACCCGGTCCTATACCTACATCTTTATAATTCATCCTTTTGTTAAATCCTCCTCAAATCACTAAGTTCAGTATCATTTCTTTTTGCCTTGGACAGTAATATGTATAAAAATGAAAGCAAATAGAAGAAAATGAAACAATAAAGCAAACAGGCAACTTAATTCTATAGCTTAGGCTTTTTGTTGTTTTGTAACAGAATAAAATATTTAAGAAAGAATGTAGGTGAATAAAACTTGATTTAGTTAAAGGAAATGTGCCACAGAGGGAAAATAACAGTAAATTTTTTATGAGTACAAACGTAAAGTTGAGGCTTTTCTCCATGTCTCCATTCCGACTGTTGCGGATTCCTGGGCTGGGAGGGATAGAGGTCTCACTGATGTGCATGTTTACACAGCCCCAGTGGGAATGAGCTGAAGAGATTTACAGATTCTTAAAGCTGAAATGGGCTGTGGGGAGTAAGCAGCCTCAGGCTGCTCAAAGCATGGCATAATTTGTGAGCTATCCTTGGATTTAATTTGTAAAGCAAATATTTAGAAGTCATTCCACACTGCCACTTATTCATTGTGCCAATGCACAATTTTTATGATTAAAATATAGCACCATTTTCTTCCTGGCGTTTTGAAGCATAGCTAACAATGCCAACAGGTAGCACTCTCTGCTCAGTGTGTGTGAGAGATGATGTTTAAAGCTTCACGTATTTCAAGCCTCACATGCATCATCTCACAGAGCTGTCAGCTAAACACCATGCAGGGTGATGGGGAGACTGTGTTTACTCCAGTTTTACTGATGAGCAAAATAAGGTGAAGAAAGGTTAAAGGACTTGCTTGTCATGCAAAATCATTAAGGAATGGAGCCAGAATTCAAACCTGAGCAGTTGGGCTCTTTGTCACATGTTCTTACGTACCATACTGTTTCTCTGCTTACAGGACACAAACAGACAGCTGAGGAAATTCTGGAACACTGCTGTGTATCCCATGACAAACATCTATGTTGTTGCATGTTATTAAATGCAACATGTCACTTTAAATGTCAGCATCCGATTGTCACATCAATGTTTACCCAACTTCATTGTTAAATATTAGCTTGCTCTGCTGCTTCCATCATAATTCTTTTCTAATCTGCATTTGTGGAGTGTATTGCTACTGAGTGGCCCTCTCCTGGACTGCTTGATCACTTGCTAATATTGCACATTCTGTGCCACTGTCAAATGATTTTGCAGATATTTAGTAGTCCTTTCCTTTGAATAGATACATGAAAACCATTGTTTTGTAATTATTCCTGTGAATTTATTCCCTATGCTGTACTAGAAGGAGATTTATAGGGATTAGCAACTCAGGAACTCCTTAGAACAACTGTCTCTATCATTTTCTGACAACCTTATGAGACTCTGATTTGATATCTTCATTCTGGTGAGACTCACGCATTGGTGCGTTATTCTGTACACGCGTTGGGATTTAAACAGGGATGAAATGCTCGTGAATGAGCACTTCTTCCCAACATGAAAAAAGTAAAATTCAATCTGAGATCAAATAACTTGGCAAATAATGTATGTGACACCTTATCGCGCGCGCGCGCGTGTGTGTGTGTGTGTGTGTAAGGGAGACAGAGATAGAGACACAGAAAGACCAAGTGAGTTTTGCCTTTCCACACAAAACATCTTTGAATATATTTCATCAACTAAAAGAAAGGTTGCTAATTTGATGAAAATATTAATCAAGGAATATGACACAATCCTCAAGTTATTTTTCTTTTATTTAAAATGGTAGCTATCACAACACATCATACAATGAATCAAGACTTTAGAATCACATTAAACCTTTAAAACAGCTTTCTATAGGCACGAAACATGAAACATGCCACAGAGATACAAATTCCACTGGGTACCAAAATCTCAGTGCATTCCCATCCTGAAGACCAGCAAGAAACGCAAATCTGCACAGGCAGTTCTGCGCTTTTTACAGCAGCAGTCATGACTGCTTCAGATCTCTGATTTTTTCCTTTGGAGACCAGGCTTTTACAATTTCATTGAAAACTGTGCTTTCTTAGGAAATCGCCATTTATTTCTACTTCGGAGGGAGTCATATTAGCATTCTAACACGTGTTCACGGCACATGTTGGCACAATATGAAAAATAAACACTTTTTCTGAGTTTTAAACTCATAACAATAATTGTTTTTAAATAAATAATTATTCATCATAGTGCATGTTTTATTTTACCTTTAATTGCCCACTGACACAAATGAAGCTGAATAAATAACATGTTAGGTAGTTTATTTACGTCTTCTTTCGTAGTTCTGCATCGCACTCCTTTCATAAGCCACTGAAAACAAAGAGGAGGTAGAGTGTGTTTTAAGAAGGTTCACTGAGTTCCACAAAGTTCAATGCATGCAATAATTTATTATAAAGTCATAATGTCTTTGTCCTTCCATTGAAAACTCAGAATTTTATATGTACACCTTCCAATCCTTCCTCTCTCTACTCTGATTCTTAGCCACAGAACATTCCATGTTTTTGGTCATCCACTGGATATTTGATGCCCTGGAAGTAATATATTATATTCTTCATGTACGGCATTGTTGCTTTAACAGGCTTTCTCGAGCACTGTCAGACACTAGTGACTTACAGAAGGAATCACACCTAGAATGACCAGAAATATTGGTAGAAACGAAATGTGATACTTTCCCTCAGGATGGAGGTCAACAGACTGTTGGCCATGGGGCAAATCTATTCTTACAAATACAGTTTTTATTGGAACACAGACACATTAGCTTTGTTTTTAAGATTTCAAGTGTTAGATTTGAGTAACTGCAACAGACACCATATGCTTACAAAGTCCAAAGTATTTTCAATCTCTTTTTTTTTTTTCCAATAAACAAAAAAGAAGAGAAAGTTTACTGATTTTTGTTATAGTGGCACCTAATGGCATGAGTGTATCTTCTTCCCTTCGGGGTACTTCCTGACACAAGTCTGTCCTGGAGAGAAAACCAGTCTTGTTTTCTCTAAGAAAGTCAACTAAACCCCAGAAGGACAGCATAACTCAGTTTACATCTTACCATCCTACTGGTCTGTGAAAGATTAATTACTGCTTCCAAAGCTCCTTAACATATAGAGAGTACTTTAAGTACTCTGAGTCTGGATCAAAAAACATCCTAAATTTTATCATGTTACATTATTTCATATTACATTAGATCACATATAATTTCAAAGGGATCTGTAACTATAAAACATCAAAGACTAGACTGTTGTAATCACTCAACTAAGCATAGTTTTTGTCATCTTAGGTAGTATTTCATACCCTTAAATTCACACTACGGTAAAACTGCTTTGCTTTCTAAAATTCAGTTTGCCCCACAGAAAATACTGAATTTAAGTAGTGCTACTCTAAACAGGTTTCTGAATTAGAAAGGTCTGTTGAGAAGGAGAGAACGTAGGTAAAGATACCAGTTCCTCACCTTACAGCTATCTCAGGCATCCAGCCAGCTAGCTATTTTTTTTGGTTTGATTATTAACTATTTTTTTGTTCTTCATTTGTTTTGCCTTTTTAAGTTGGGCAGGCTTGACTTTTGAGTTGGCCGTTTCAAAGGGAGGGAAAATTTCTTTTTTCTTTTTGTTTTTTTTTTTTTGGGTTGGTTTTGCTTACCCTTTTTTGGTTACCTTGCTTTTTTTCTCAGAGGAATAAAATGAATGCTAATTAAACTACAGGCAGATTAACCATTTAGCTGCACATGATATCTTCTTCCAGGAACACATCATTTTTTATCTGGTCCTTGAACCCTCTGAAAATATATATTAGTTTCTGTGTCTAAGCTGGTGAGGCTTTCTCTGGGAGAGGGTTTCTACATTATCAGCTTGTCAAAGTGGACTGTGATTATGGAATGGTCAGAATTACAAGGCTCTGTGATTAGATTATGATAATCTTGTTTCAACAGAATATATGAAATGCTCTTTGACTATGGTTTATAATTTTTCCTTTTGTACTTTCTTAACTAAATGGAAGAGCAAAGATGTAATTATAGTGGTTCTATTTATCATTACCTAGAATTACATTATTACTTTATTCATGTTTAATTTATTCTAAACTGTATAATATCTATATTTGTGAAGTGAAGCATATTATGAAAGTTATATTAATTCTGGAATTAAAGAGTTGATGGCTAATACAATTATTAAGAAAATCATAGTTATATGCAGAATGGTATGAATGAAGACAGAGAAATCCCACTGTGGTTTAAATTTCCCATATCTATAAGCTAGAATACAGTACAAATAATAAAAATATAACTAGATATATTGATATCTTCTTTTAAACTTACACTTGTCTAACCCTCAAAGTACTGGTGAAAAATAAATTGAAAAATAGATTTAAATCTGGGAAGTGAAAAATCAATAAAAATACAAGGATGTTTTTGCATGAATTCAGATAACTAACAATTAAGTCAGTACATCTTATAGATTTTCCACAAAGAAGAAATATCCTCAGGGGATATGACAATTACTAATTACTAATTAGATATTAGTACTTTTATCTATTTTCATGGAAGGCAAAATAAAGAAAATTTGAATAGTCTTTCCAAGGATCCTAAACAAAGAGTCATCAGGCTTCAATGTGCTTAAAAAAATTTGTAGTTTCCATGACAATTATCATAGGGGTTAATTAATTCTGAAAACAGTGTGACAGTTGAATTATGAAATAAGGGCTTTTCAAAAATTTGTATGTGTCATTTACAATTCTTTTTTTTTTTGCAAAACCGGGGATTGAACTCAGGCCCTTGCACTTGCTAGGGAAGTGATTATTCTACTGAGCCATTTCCCTGGACCTGTATGTGTCATTTACATAGAAGATGAAAACTAGAAAAAGGAATTATGTAGGCTTTATATCTAGTAAAGGACTTGTTTGGAATTAAAGTGAGTTATGAGAATTGTAGCATCTCTTCTCTCTAAGGGTTTTAGAGCCTGAACTAATTTACAACATTCCAGGATGACCTAATTACATTCCCTTTTAAATGTACTGGAATGAACCATACCAGTCATCTCTCCCAATATCCATCAGGACATTTAGATTTTGAGATTCTATAACTTTGTAAAGAGAAAATGGTTTATATGAAATTTTTGTTTTATGTTTATGCCAGAAGATTGCCAGGTGTAACATCTTATACACCTTTCAAATTACTTTGGTCATAGGTGACAATCTCTCATCCCTCCCTGTACACCACTCCCAACCCCTGCTGGTTCAATAAAGTTGAATATGGCTTGTTGGCAAAGAGTATATTATATTAAGTATATTTGCATACTCTTGGGATAGCATATAGTGTATTAATTTAGCCCCACGATTCAGGACAGGCAGGCAGTGGTGGGCGGAGCAGACACTGGCAATGCTGGTGATCTAAAGGAAATAGACTGATGTTCTAGTGGCATTGGCTTAATCAGCTGTAAATCTGTTCTTGCTACAAGTGTTACGATTCAATTTTTTGTCTTCAATTTTCATCTTAAATCTATTATTGCCTTTCAACACTTTGAAAACCATGCTGTATAGAACTAGAAGTAGATTTGAGATACTATTTTCAGTTATGATTTTATACATACCAGAATTTAAAGCTCTTTTGCCCATTAGTCCAACAAAGGAATCTGTTTTATGCCCTGAAAAAATACATTTAGGGGTATTTTAATATGTACATCTTTGAGGAAATAAATAGTTATAACTTGTATAAAATAGCAAGCTGCTGAATGTATGCCATCTATATCTATATCTATATCTATATCTATATCTATATCTATATCTATATCTATATCTCTATCTCTATCTCTATATATATTTCTAATTTAGGTGAGCCTGAAGAAATGCAGATTTCTTATAAGTCTTACAAATAATGCTAAACTAATATAATGAAAGCACTTTTCTTACTCTACATTTAAGTATTAATGAATTTCTTCTCTTTTATTATATTTTGTTTGTCATATAAAGTTTTCAATATTGTTGAAATTTGATGTTGAGAGACTCAATTTCACTCTTTGTGTAACAGAGACACATCCACACTTGTTTCTTCATATTACTAACTATGTTGTATTCCTTAGCAAGCAACCCTCAGGTAAGTTATCTCGGATGACTGTAATCTCCTGAAATATCATTGCTTTATTGAATTTTAAAAATGCTCCCTTTGAAACAATATGTAAGCTTTAACATCAATAGGGTACAGTTATTTTTATCACGTAGAATTTTGTAATTCCCTTGAAAGTCAAATCCTTAAAAGTAAGTATGAATGATTTATTTCCAAAGATGAGAAAAGGTTACTATTTAAATGCTTGTGGGGTAATTTCCTTTGGTTTTTAACCAAGACGCCTGGCACTTTCCTGGAGCCTACCTGTCACCCAGTGAGTCAGTTCTCAGAGGGCACAGACACAGATGATGTGAGCGGAAGGACCCCAGAGACTGCTGCCAGCTCTGGTTGCTTTTTTTTTTTTTTGAATTTGATCTAATGACTATTCTTCTGTGCCATAGTTTTCCCATCTTTCTTGTCCTAAGAGATGGTTCACTTTTCTTGGATGAATTTAGGTTCCCATTTGATTTGGAGATAAAATAAATTGCATCGCCATTCATCTTTACCTTCAGGGTGAATTCTCTTCATGGATATTCACATATTTCACTTAACTGACTTTTGGACAACCCTCAAAATGATGTTCCGGGATCCAGCTAAGTAAGATGTTTAGTTTGTGCATATAAGTGAGTGTGGGGAGAAGGTAGAGATGAATTTATGATTTCTAACATAGTTCTCAAAATTTAAAACTAACAACGTGTGGGTTATTAACAGACTTTCTTTTCTTAGCATAGTGTATATTTTTGGTACAGAGTTTATTGATAAGTATTAATTTAAGCATAGTCTGGATGTGAATTTCCTCCCTTATATTGTCTTAATTACAAATATTAGGCTCTGAATTATGAGTGAAATTGAGGTAATATATAAAGTAGAAATTAATATAAGTAATATTAGTAAAAATGTCAAAATAATTTTGAACTTACTTTTGTGAGAGATCTGGCCATGTCCTGGAATAAAGAAAGATACAATTAATGAACACTTGCATGTTTGTTTGAGGATGGTACATTCTATGTTTGAGAAAGAATTATACAATAAATTGATTTTTAAAATATGTAGTATTTTCTGTTTTGGTACTATGATGAAGAATATAGCAGAACAATAAATGCTAACACAATTATTGATAAAAATGTATTATTTTGGTAGACAAAGAGAGTATTTACTAAGTGCCTTGTATGGGCCATAGACTCAAACCCAGAACGATGGGATTCTTGCAGCTGGTATTGATATAAGGCTATAGTGTGCCACCAAATATTTTCCACGCGGGGGGTGGTGGTGCTGGTGCTGGTGCTGGTGGTGGAAATCTATGTTTTAATTAAATAGGCATAAGTAAGACTTGTTTTTCAGCCCATAAAAGACTTTCTTCGCTATCCTACATATGCAGTCACAATGGTAAAGTAAAGATTTATAGGAATGTTTACCATAAAGAGCCTTTAACAGGGCCACTTGTTTTTCAATTGAGGAATCTGACAAGAGACAATTGACATTAACTGTTCACACGTTCCACTGCCAATGCAATGAACTCAAGGAAACTGAAAATCTTTATCAGGCAACAAGGGCCAGCCAAGCCTGATCCGCCCCAGAGGGCGCGGCAAGGTCAGCTTTCCCACACGCGTGGCCCGCGTGCTGAGCGCTTCCCCCAGAGGAACAGTGCTCTCCCGTCTTTGCGGTTTGGATTTGGGGTCAAGGCAGGGCCTGGCTAGGGCTGGTTCCTGTTCGGGTCACTTTCGTACTGGGAAGCATGCGGTAGGGGTTGGCCCTCCCTCACTCTGCGAGTTACGACCCTGACTCAGGGTGAAAATCTCTACCCAAAAGCGGAAGGAACATTTTTGGTGCGTGCTCCAGAACCGAGCAAGCAGCCGGGCGAGGGCCGGTCCCCAGAGACCCACACCCGTTTGCTAGCCTCACCAGCTTCCCGTTTGCCCATTAGTCCAAAGAACTGCTGAGGCTTGGGTCTCCGGGCAATCCTCTGCAGCAGATGCTCAAAGGGCTCCGGCAGCTCCTCCTGGAGGACAAGAAGCGGCCAGAAAGCAGCGTGAGCGCTCGCGAAGCATGCAGCCCCCTCGTTGCCGCGCGCTGCCCAGGTGCTCGGCGGGAAAGCCAGTTTCCCTGGATGGAGGCCAGAAGCCAACGGCCTCCCGCCGCCCTCGCCGAGCAGCGTTCAGCCCGGCGCGTACCCTGCCCTACTCCTCTGTCCGGCCTCCCTGGCTGATGAGCAGCAGCTGGGTACCTTCCAGCCTCCAGCTCTTCGCGCCCTTTCCTACCATCCGGGAGACCCTTCCTTATTTAGTGCGCCTCCCGCGAATTTGACTGCTGTCGGGAGCGGACCTCAGAGACCGCTCAGGCTCAGACGTGGTTGCAGAAGGCGACTGCCTTTCACAGGCGAGCAGCACGCGCGACTTTGAACAATTTCCCAGGCACGCACTCTTTGGCGCCAACACCCCGAGAGCCGCCTAGAAGGAGACTTAACTCTCTCCCCAGGTCCTGAGCACCAGCGTGCGGGCGGGAAGTTAGCTTCCCACCCACCTGCTCTTTGAGAGCCCCCAGCCTGCTCGCCCGGGCGCCCGCGTCTCCGCTCGACTGACTCCCGCTCTTCTGCTCAGCCCAACTTCCCCCCAAATCCTTTTAGTGGGGGAAGGTTTCCAGCCTTGTGGGGCCCCGAGCTCACCCGGGTGAGCACCACTCTTTCAACATGCCTGGAACGATCGGGTAGCGCAGTCTTACGGAGGAAACTCAGACTATGGGCACAGGATGCCCCGCGGGGCCCGGGGGACGACTCCCCAAGACCGGCCCCCAGCGCGCCTCCACCGTCTGGCGGAGGCTGCGGAGCCCTCGAGTCCCCGGGGGTGCGATCGCGGGGAAAGCCACAGCTCCACAGCCCCGGGAGAAGGACGCGGGCCATTCCGGGACCCGGTCTCACCTTGATCTGGTCACTGTCCGACCAGTCGGACCAGTAATTTAGATCATCGTTGGCACCGATTTCTTCTGCAAACAGTTGTGTGGAGACCAGAAAAAAGACGGCTAAAACGACCAGGATTTTCATATTGGATTTCTGACAAGAGTAGGGGAGGAGACATCGAGAAGAGAGATATATTTCCAAGAGTTACAGTAGCAGAATTTTCGGCCCCACAACGGCACTCGGCTTAGGGCTAAAATCTCACCTGTGTAGTTTAGGAAAGAAGATCTCGCTCCCAAGATTCTTAACTCCCCTCCTTGAATCTCCTCTCCCCGGGACCCCAGCCCACTAATCTGCACCCTCAAGTCGGGGGACTCTTCAGTGGAAGACAAAGAGGGGCGTTGGCGTTGGGTAGCAGCCAGCTCTCCCCACAGCCCCTACCTGCCGCGCCGGGACAGCCCCCAGACGAGCGCCCGGAGCGCGGGCCAGTACTCACCGCGGCGCTCAGGCCCGGGGTCTCCAGCCGCAGTGCGCGCGCCTCCCGGCTCCGCACTCTAGGTGGCAGCGGTGGTGGACGAGGAGGAGGAGCAGGAGGAGGAGGAGGTCCGAGCGCTCCTTAGCCTGCTCCGCGCTTCCCGGTATTTATCCCAGGCGTGACGAGTTTCGAGGCCCACGTGACGCTCTCCCCACGCGACTTTCTGCTCAATATTTAATTAGCCGCCTCCTCTCCTTTCGCTTGCGTGATTGAGAGTTTCCGAGACGGTAACCCGTCGGTGCCCATAACATCTGGACCCAATTGGGTTCGAAATGACGCAGAGTTATGAAAATGGAAGTGCTGCCGTCCAATCCAGAGCGGCCTGGCTTCCTCCCTCCGCATATCTGACGCCCCCTCCCCTCTCTTCCGAGCAGGGTTCCTTGACACCTGAGATTACTCATCAAAATGGAGCAAAGTGACTCATTCCTCGGACTTCGACAACTTTTCTGTTTCTTGAGACGTCAGGATAAGTTGCACTTTTGAGGACAGCTAAATAACTTCAGGCATTAAGACGGTGTCCTAGGAAGTCAAGCCAAGAAAGGAGCGCTGCAGGGGACAGGAAGCAGCTTTCTCTTTTTTCCATCTTCCGAATGTCTGAATAGAGCATCTCTCTGTGACTAGAGCTTGCTTCTCCTAAATCACTGGAGTACTGGCATTTATTCAGGGTTACAAAAGCATTTTGAGTCTCATAGTATTTCAGAGAATGAAGCATCGTATTTACCCTTGAGAGAAAGGGGAAGTTAAATGTGACACTGCTATGGACCTCGGTCTTCTGCCAGTGCCATTCTGAGATACGTTTCTTTCCCACAAATCCTCTTTCTTGTCACATCCGGGAGCAGGGATGGGAAGAGGAGCCTTTTACTTCTTTCCTACCTGCTCTGCTAACCACCACAAAACCAGCAAGATAATGTTGCAGGATACTCGCTGATGTCACTAAGGGGCCCTACAGATCGCTCATTGATTTGTCCTGTGCAGAACACTAAGTACAGGGAAGAAGCAGACAGGGTGTCGTTACCAGAATAGAATTATTAGAGAAATAATTTGTGTCTAATAACACACCAATGTTCTTTACCTCCCCATGAAAGACATGATACAGCATCTTGGGTGGAGCTGTTTTGTCTTAGTATTACATTTTTCAAGTGTAACATTTTAGATAGTATGTAAAGGAAGAACATTTTTGCTTACATCTCAATTAGATCTTTAAGATTTCCCTCCGTAATATTTGTTGCTTCTTATCAGTGAATTTTGAAATCCACATATCCTCATGTGTTTAGATTACATTCATAATGGAGCCACTTAATTATCTTTTCAAAACTTTTGTATGGGAAACTATAAATACACACAAAAGTAGAAAAAAATCAAGCTCTTGAAACAATTGCAAATTTCGTGTAAGCCTTTCTTTTTTATCTTCCATTCAGAATATTAACACAAATTCCAGAATCTCCACCATTGCAGATAAGTGCATATGCTGAAGCCTTTCTACCTCAAAGGCAAGGATTCTTTTCTGCATGGGAACGTTTCTTTAATTTGTATTAATGCATGTTTGCAGTACATGATTACATTAACTGTGATGAATTGATACATATACATAAAACATTTGATTTCTTTGTTCCATTTCACCAGTTTTGTCCTATTTTTTTTTTTGCCAGCAGCAAATGCACTCACTTTTTAAAGAGCTTATCAAATTAATTAAATATACAAATTAATGGCCAGATCAACAGGTGAAAAAACATATCAAACACACAAGACAGTTATAAAAAAAATCAGTGTTATCTATTGTCTGGGCTAGATTATCATTAACTTTCTCTCT